AAAGAGTGCTGCTTTTGAAAGCCAGTTCTATTTAATGCATTTTGGGGTACCTTCTGTAGCAATCCAAACCTGCTTTCTTCTATGCTAAGCACTATTCACAATGTTTCCGCTGTCACCTGTATCTCCTTTGTGCTCTCTAATCTTAATTTTTCAAGTTCCATGTAATCTCTGTGTGCATTCAGGTGAGATGCAGGCAAAACCAGGATTTTAAAGTGCTATTTCAGCCAAAAAATGAGCACAAAGCAAAATAAGCAGAAGTAAAATAAAATCATGTGTAAAACTGAGAAACTGTGTTTTAAATGGGCACTCTACAGAATTCTATAAGCACTCTGAATCTACTTGTGTGTGTGTGTGTGTGTGTGTGTGTGTACATGACAAGTTTAATGATATAAAGCTATCAAAGTTCTCTATAAATAGAGAGATGATAGTGATTTTTTTCTTCCCCAAAATGTCTACAGGAGACATATATTTCTGCAATAACCAGGTTTTTTGGAGAATAGTTAACAAACAAGCACACGCTCTTGCTGATGAGTTGATGTGCGCAGCACACCAACATGGCACAAGTATACATATGTAACAAACCTGCACATTGTGCACATGTACCCTAGAACTTAAAGTATAATTTAAAAAAATAAAAACAAAACAATATGATTGGGAACACTAGAAATTTTATGTGCAAAGTCTGCAACCTTGAGCGATTCATTTAATCTTCTGTACCCCAGTTTCCTCATCTGTAACCTGAGAGTCTGCACCCTGGAACCAGTAAAAGGATTAAATTACTTAATGCATATAACTTACGCAGAACAATACATTTTGATGATTATCTGAAAGTTTTAAAAGTTGAAACAAGTGATTCGTCTGTAAATGGTTGAATCAACGCTTTTAGAAAATCTCTTAAGCATTTGTTTGAAAAGTTTGTCTGCATGTAACACTTATCCTTATAAATTGTAAGGTACTTTTCTGTTACTATAATCTAAAAACTGTAATTGCTTTTTAAATACTAGAAACAACATCCAATAACCTAGGCAGGCCAAACATGCTAGTTTGAAATCTGTGATCATAATGTATACACTTGTAAAAACGGGTGTTGCATAAAAAATAAAGCTAATATCTGAGCCCACAAGAAACCAGTTTGACCAATTGTACCACTGAAGCATAATAGTGGTTCTAATATTAGAAATCAGTCACCATCTGATTTCTCAGTTTTTAAGGGAATTTTTAGGGTTATATTTTGGTGTGCCGGAAATGCATATTTCCATTTCCTTTCTGCTGAGTCCAAGTTCTTGTGTTTAGGGCCCATAGCTGAGAAAGATTTATCTTTCAAGTATCCTTCCAGCTGTAGCTGTTAACAATTTGTCTTAGTCTCCAAGGACTACCTCTCCAGCCTTTTTAGGAACAAGTGACCTCAAGAACTAGTTGGAACATTCCACTTTAATGAATGTCACCTGTTAATTTCAGGCAGGGTTTTCTCCTGGCTAATTTTTCTCATTTTTCCTAGTTCTCTTGCTTCTACAGGAAACCAGATTATTTGTGCATATTCTAAGTACTTATATGGATGGTCATTTTAGAGTAAGGCAGAGGTACAGTTGACCTTGTTTGTATCCCAATTTCTTTCAATATATTAATAAGATTTTGCAGAGAAAGAATCACTTTTACTTCCTTAGCATAACTTTTTTTTTTTTTTTAACCAAGTGGCCTAGGAGATGTGACATATGCATATATTTCCTGGAAGTTCTGAGAAACAACAAAAAACAGCCCTTATATCTGGCTGCTAGAACTAACCTGCTATATAGTGACTAAGTCAAGGTGCATCTGCCTGCACATAAAAATAATTGAAAGAACTTCCACATCAGAGGAAGGCAGCCCACAGCCAGCATGGAATAAGACAGAAATACGAACAGTCTGTAAGCACCAAAGATGATCCCAAATCCCCTGCTCTTCTACTGCTTATTTTTACCGAAGACAATGCTAGTCATGCTCTGGTCCTGTCACTTTCTGGCTAAAGGTTATTGACATCCCCCTTATCCTGATAGCAACCAATCCAGGAACAAGTTTTTGCCCCTCTGAGCTCATATAAAACAACCCAGTCTAAGCCCAAACCCTTGACCAGCCCATCTGAACCTCACTCCAAGGTAGCTCATCATTCTCCTCTCTCTGTCGAAACAACTTCCTAAACCCAAGCTTAATGACAAATTGTGGTTCCAGGTGGTTTTTGATGACTACACTTTATCAGTTCTGGTACATGCAGTCAAAAAAGATGTAATATTTTATCTTTTTTTTTTTTTACTTTCTTATATCTTGTCTTATTACTGTCTCCATCACCCTTAAAAAGAGGAGAGTAATTAATTTCTGATTGCTCTGGCTCCTTAATGCTTTCCTTGCATCCAGAGCCCTCTCACTCCAATGCAGACGATTCTCATGGTTACTGCTAAAGTGGACAGTTCTCCATCTTTTGCAACCTAAATGAGCTGGGGTTAGATGAGAAACAGCAACAAGTGCATCACTTAGAGAACTTCTTGGAAATTCAGACACAGGTTCACCAAACCACAGTTCAATAAAGATCTGTCCATTAAGTTGACATCCTGTGTATTCCTAAGTATGCGTACTTTAGAGAATTACTGCTAAATGTCTCAAATAAATACACTCATAAACCACTTTGGTGCAATCATTGGTGTCTCTCAATTGACTTCAGGACAAAGCGCAAACTCCCTGTCATGCAGTTGGATGTTTTTTATCAGCCAGTTTCTTTCTGTCTCATTTTTCACACCTTTCTAAAAAACACCTTATATTTTTCACCCATGATGCAGGAGCCACGTCTTCCTATGTCTTCCTCTGTCTTCTCACTTCAAAGATGTGGAATATTATCCTCCCCACAACACAACACCCACCAGTAATTTTTCTACAGAGCTGTAAAGACCTGGCTTAGGGGTTTCTTCATACAGAATATGTGCCCAATCTTCCCAGACTAGGTTAAGGGCATCCAGACATTTATTAGCACCACTTATTAGCATGGGTGCCATCTCCAGCACCCATTGCCTCTCCTTGCTTCTGTGTTTCTCTCCCTTCCCCTCGAGTTTTATGCTGTGAGGTTTTTTCTTCAATTTTAACACCAGCCCAGCATGGGGCCTGGGACAGTGGAGATATTCAGTAAAAATTCGCTGAATAGATGCATATAATTTTAGCATTCCTTGAGTTATTCAAAATGAACAAGAATGCATAAAATAGTCAAAACAAGAGTGATTCTCCCTGCAACTGAAATTTGCTAAAAATTAGACTTTGAATGCCTGAAGATGACATTTGATTAAATATGTATATATGTATGCATGTATATACATGTTTATTTGTGTACATTTAATGAAAATGCCATTCTGAGAGATTTAAGTGCATCTGTGAATATGTCTATATATAAATTATGTATATGTATATATGCCTATGTGTCTATATGTGAGTGTATAGTGTAATGCTCCTTTTGCAAGCAGAATGCATTCCAAGACTCCCAATGATACCTGAAGTCACAGATAGTCCCAAACCCTTTATACACTATGTATTTTATTACATATATACACTTATTATGAAGCTTAATTTATAAAGTAGAGGGAGTAAGAGATTAACAATAACTAATAAAATAGAGCAATTATAATGCTATAAATGTTATGTGAATGTTTTTTCTTTCAAAATATCTTATTGAAGTACTCAAATATTTTTAGACCACAGTTCACCATAGTAAATGAAACTGCAGAATGTGATTTCACAGATGAAAAGGACTAATGTAATATATTCACACACAGACATACACTCACACACATGCACACACACAGGAATGTATATATGACCATAAATGTGTTATAGATGTGTAAGTATATATGAGTGTGTGTGCAATTAAGAGTGTGTGTGCATATATATTTAATGGAATTCACATATTCAGGAATTTAAAGTGTGTGATATCTATGTATATATGTAAATGTGTAACATACATGTGCATATATGCATGTGTGCATATACAGTATATATAATGTAAACATACACAATCATGCATCACTTAACAATAGGGTTCTGAGAAAAGTATCATTAGGCAATTTCATCATTGTGCAAACATCGTGTAGTGTACTTACACAAAACTAGAGATATAGCCTATAGCACACCTAGACTCTATGGTATAGCCTAGTGCTTCCAGGCTACAAACCTGTACAGCATGTAACTTGAGAGAAGACCCTAAGCAACTATAACACAATGATAAGTATTGCTTCATCTAAACTTATCTAAACACAGAAAAGGTACAATAAAAATATGGTATTTTAATCTCATGAGACCATCATCATATATGTGATCTATAGTTGTCCAAATCATTATGCTATTTATGACTCTATATATACATACATATATATAGGATAGGTACATGTATACACATACATGATGTACACATACATGTACATATATGCATATGTTTGTATGTATTTCTCCTGTGTGCCTTCACAACATGATTGAGGCCAACAACATCTGAAGGATTTAGGAGTTCACATATGCCAAATAGTCTTGGTCCTTGCTATATTTCTTTACTTGATACTTAGCTAAGATTTTTATGCAGGACCTTGACTTACAGAGTTTGCTGAATAATTCTTGGTGAAAGATCAGGATATGAAGATATACTATCTTGTTATCCATCAAATTTTCCTGTCCAAGGGGGCATGTTTCCAAGTCCAAACAGCTTCCATTATGAAAGGGGAGTAATGCAGGTGCCTGCTCCTTAGAGCTACTGTGAATGTGAAACAAATTCATGATGGCTGGATTTACAGGAAGGAATTGACAAATGAGCTCCCATTGGAATGACATGATTCTCTGCCTCTTGATTTTCTTTCAGTAGAATTTTTGCTATCACTTGAAGGTTTACTCATCTAAGGCTTTGTATTTGCAACTGTTAAGGCATTAGTGTGTTGAACACAACTCAAGACACAGTGACACAAGAATGAATAGTAGTAGAAATAACAAATCCAAACACTCAGTTTCAGGCAGTGTCATCTCAGGAGCTTTACCAAACAGGGCTTAGTTTTCCAAAATCAGGCCTGCAGAGAGCCTCCTCAACTGTGCAGCTGGCCAAAGCTAAAACAATCATCCCATTATCAAATGTATTTATCCATTTGTAGCATATGTGAGAGCTATCAGTTAGCATTTACAAAGAAAAAGGCACTCAAAGAACAACAAAAGTAAATAAAATATGCCACCTACCAAGAAAGAACAGATGCGTAATTGTTTGCACAAAGCATTATAAAATATTGTGATATTTTATTATTAAAATGCGCTGAAAAGTTTATACATGTGTGTCTGGCAATATATATCTTCTATCATTACTTAAGGCAAAACAAGGAATAAAATCTCAAAATGATAGCACAAGGAACCATTGAAACTTATGTCCCTTTGAAGATCATGGAAAAGCCTAGGAAAGGATTTTTTTCTTACTTTTTCTCATTTTTTTCTTTTTTCTCTTTTTTTTTATAAATAGCAACTATATTTTTCTCATAGAAGTCTATGAGGATTCTATAACTTCTTTTCATGTAGAAATGAGATATCTTGTAAGATGTACTAAATCACTTTTGATCATAATCTCCTGTAAAAGCTAAAGTTATTTATTTAACAGGAACTCTTCTTTTCCGTAAGACGTCACAAGACTGTCATGTTTATTGTACATATTGCTAGTAGGAGACAATTGAAAATATAAAACAAATACTGGAATTCATATTACAGACAGACAAAACCAGCATGGTGCCACACATCACTTCCTTTGTAGTTTCATGGAGAGCCTGTTTGTGGTTGCTCAGGTGGGGTCATACATTGCGTGCAGAAATGGCCTAATCATAGCTCTATGAAACAATGAATTGGGAATGAAATCTTACCATGTCACCTCTGTGTAGGAAAGAAATGTTGCTTCAAGTGTGCTAAGTGCAGATCATAATATTTCATGTATTTATATAAAGAGAATCACTTTCAAATTTAACCCAAGATAAGCAACAAGTTTTGGGGGTGATTTTATGTATATCTTAAATTTTTCTGTTTTCTAGAGGTGACTCTCAAACACTGATATATCACTATGGTTTGAGTGTAGGGATTCAGTAATCAAAGTTGTTATTGCAAAAGAGTCAGGTAGCTGGACAAATTTTATGGGGAATACCCACTTTAGTAGAGGCATTTAACATTGGATTTCTAGAGTAATCCACAATGGAGCCAAGGGACATGATCTTCAAATATCTTTGGCTACTGTTTCTTAGTAATGCAGTAATCTTTGAAAGACAAAATATAGAACAACCATTGCTTCTGTGTTTCCTTCTGCCTTGTAACAATCCAAACATTCCTGAAAATGAGAAATGAGAAAATGACAAGCAGTTGGAGAGACAAATATCTGATCCCCAGGTAACCAATTTAAAATGGGTGAATAAATTCCCTTCAGTATCTTGTCAGTGAAGATATCCTAATTTCCTCCTCCCCCCCCCAAAAAAAACCTATGCAAAGCAGTTTTAATGTTCTATCCTTTTCCCCCCATTCTTCTATAATATTCATTGTTTGGTGATCAGATAAATCCACAAAAAGTGATATTTTCAGACAAGCATATGTTTTATCTCATAAATGATATAAAAGATTTTTTAAAAATCTACTTACTGATAAATAAGGGACTGGGTGCTTAAACAGAAAACACACATATCTTCCTTCAATCTGATTAGCTAAGCTGAGCAGGTACTTCATCAGCCAAATCCTCCAGCAGCTGCTAGGGAACATAGAGGAGTATTTACTCCAAGGGGCATAGTCCCACCAAAGGCAAGCTTTCTTCTTTTTTGGCAGGGTCCTGAAATAGGAAGTAACTCTTCCCAAATGTATTCAAAGGGCAAGAGCTACAAAACAGTATTTGTATTTTTTTTTTCTCTGCTCATTCTCTCTCTCTCTCTCTCTGTGTGTGTGTATGTGTGTGTGTAACTCAACAACTTTTAAATACATTCCACTTTTAGGACCTATGTCTGTGCTGCAATTTCATGAAAACTAGCAAATACAAATCAAATTTCTCCAAAACAATGGTCTCCTAAGAATGCTCTATATGCATCTGTGCAACCTGACAGGCAGAAATGGACCATACAAAACTTCTGAGTCTTCTGTTTGACCTCACATATTCCTACAAATGAAAATCTCATGTCAGAAAATCTCATGCCTTTGTTTACATGTAATTAAAAAGAAAAGTCTCTTTTGTTGTGGAGGAAGAGAGGTGGTATAACTAATATGTGTGTAAAAGCATAACCTTGCTAAAAGTTCTTTCAAACTGAAAACACAAATAAAAACCTTTCTCTTTTTTGTTTGTCTGCCGTTTTTGTTTGAACTCAACAGCTATATACATCTTTATTTTTTACAAAGTTTCTTAAATATAGTTCAGGCTGGCAAAACACCTCCTTCCACAGAACCCTACGGATTTTGCTGTGCAGTCAATTCTTTTATTTTGATAATAAAATTCTACATTTCCTTGTCTCTGGATTACAGCTCTACGTGCTGAGTAAAAGCCCAAAGATTCTTTCTACACTGAAAAAGAACCATTCATTTTGTAGCCCAGATAGAAATGTTTAAATTTCCATTGTAATTAAAAAATATTAACTGTCCCTGGCTGAGTTTTGGAAGTGAGAGCTGCTACCATGATGTTGGAAACACATAGGTCCTTGAAATGGTGATGTCCTAGTCACACAAAATATTTGTTGGCATGGTAGAGATCTTAAAGCAGTATTGTAACAGAAACAGATACTATTCACATTTCATATGGTCAGAAATTGATCTCACAATACTGGAAAATGCCAATGAGAAGTGTCTGCTGGGATGGGATTACTGCCCTTTTGCATTTTTGTCTAAACTCAGTGGCAAAAAAACATTCCTGGTTTGGAGATTCTCTTTGTCTCTTCTATGTTGCTGAGCAGGTGGTGCAGAGGGATAGGAGGGGAAATACGGCCAAGCTATACTCTAGTGGTGGAATGTCCGTGGGGTAAATTTGTACTGTTTTGTCCTCCACTGAAGGTGTTAAAAGTGTGCAAAGGCTGCATCCCCGTCAGTGTGTTTGGAATCATGGTGATGGTGTTTGGCGTCATAAGTGGGATATCATCCGGCGACCGGCGCAGCGTGAGGGTGTAGTCTGGTGGGCAGGTGAGCCTCAGCGTGTCGTGTGCCTGCAGCGACTCACACTCGTGATCGTGCTCCAGCTGCTTCATCTGCAAAGACATGATCTCTTCGTTCTGGATGTGAGCGATATCATTTGTGGTGTTTCTCTGGGGACTCGGGCGCCTGTGAGTCTCATGGCGCCTCTTGTCCTTTTTGTAGTACAGAGCCGCAAAGGCTAAAATGTTGAGGAAGAGGAGCGATGCCCCGACGGCAATGGTGACACTTAATTCAGTGGAATAATCCCGTTTGGTTTCAATGAGGACAGTTGTGTCCTCGGGCCCCGTTTTGTGAGGGTCCTTAGAGTGTTTGGGATTGTTGGCAGGAGTGATTGCTGGGCGTTTGGTCGTTGGCCATATCTTGGCAGGAGATCGGCGGGTACCATAGGGAAATGATGTCATGTCTGGAGGAGGAACCTTTGTGGTTGTTGAAACATACTGGAATATCTCGTTCAAGTTGTGCAAATGAGGAACGAGTTCCAACCAGAAAGCCACTTTCGTTGCCCGGTAGTGATCTCTCACTCTGGGTTTCAAGCCTATATGCAGGTAGAGCTGGTCTTTGGGATTATACTTGGACCAGGCCACTTCTTCAAAGCGGTTGGGTTTTGTGTGAATGAACTTGGTATCCTGAGGAACTGGTTGATTTGGATCACTGGGGATAGAAGGGAGAAAAAAAGTAAGGTCATACTCTTCCACATGTGACATGAAATTATCTTAAACCAATAAATCAGGAAGTTACAATCTGCTCTTCATATATATTTTTCAATGAGCACAAATACCCAAGCAGCAAAGGTACATTCTGCTTTAATCCTAGACATGTCTACCATGTTGTCTTTTCCTTTAAAAATTGGTTATTTTTCTTCTAAATATAAACCCTGATAGCAGTATTATGGCATTTTTATAACATGTCTACTATTTTTAAGGCATCAAATGATCTTCAAAAATAAAGGGAAAAAAGGAAAACTAAGTGTCCCTAGGAACATTTTCAGTATTTCAAGTTTCACTCTTTTTGAATTGGAAAACTCATCCAGGAGGGATTTGCTCCAAAGGGATATTTGGCAAGGTCTGGAGACATTTTTGGTTTTCATAGACAGATGGTAGTTTCTATGAAGGGTGGAGGTCAGTGATGCCACTAAACACCCTCTGGTGCACAGCAAGGAAGTTATCTGGACCCAAATGTTAACAATACTGAGGCTGAGAAATTCCGATTAAGAATTTTTCAACAAGTGGCCACTCTCGTTGTTGCTCAATAATTGCATTTGAAGTAAATGAACAGATGTTGCAGTTTTGAGTTGATGGGTGCTGACGAGTTGATGGGTGCAGCACAGCAACATGGCACAAGTATACATATGTAACAAACCTGCACGTTATGCACATGTACCCTAGAACTTAAAGTATAATAATAAAAAATAATAATAATAATAAACACTCAAAATAAAATAGGCATTATAATTACAAGCTGTTTATAAATCAACACATGCATCATTTGTTAGCTCTCTTTTTGAAAGTAAAATACCTATGCACATGGACACTTTTTGAAGACTGAGTCCAGAAAAGATGAAAGCACACCATATTTGCTGTAAGAAGTTTGTTAAAATGGTACATATAGTTATGGTGAGGTAAACATGTTTAGGATAAATAAGATACCCAGAAACAAGCTGAAGGCAGTTACAGATGCTAAGTTGTGCTTAGAAGCTATACACTGAATAATTATCTTATTATTATTTGCACAAGCGGGCAAAGGTAGAAAGAGAATCAGAAAAGTTTGGAGATAATTCATAAAACATAGAGCCTTTAAACATCTTTGCAACCAACTCTTTTAAGATAACACTTCCCCTTCAAAAACAAATATAGCAAATTCTCATTTCTTCCTTTTCTTATGGTTGATAAAGTAAGCTATAAAACCAATTACATCTTAAGGTTTAATTATTACAAAAAAATTGAAATTATGCATGGTAAAATGTCATCTAGTAGTTAATACTGAGCATTGAGATGTGATGTGCAGACCAAGGCAGGCAGGGAGTTGCAACATCCTGATCAATGGCTCCAGCTGTAAGCTAAGGTCCATCTTCCAGGTAACTCCTCCTTAGGGGGACTTTTGTGAAGCTACCTATAGCCATTGCATATTGCCCTGTATGGCAGAAGGCTGCAGGAACAAGGAAGAGTATGTATCTAGTCATCACCAGACATTGTGCAGGATTCAACCAATGTACTTGACTCAGAGATGTCACATGTGCTAAAGGAAGATTTTCTGCCCTCAATCTGAGTCTGTGGTTGTGGTAAAAGAAATAATATCCCTGTATTTAAATTTCTGGAGCTCTAGCTCATTAACAGCTGTGAAATCTTGGGCAAATTTTCCAGTCAGTATTGGCCTTAACTTAGTCACCTATATATTGAATAAGAATATTAGGCTTAGAGATTAGTGATGAAGGTTGAAAGAAAATGACAAAATGTCAGACATATGGTGATAATTCAGCAAATATTATCCCTTCTTTTCCAATATAAAAATTAGAACACTTACAGTATTGCAAGGGAGGTGGAACTAGGGAATGATGGAGTGATATACGTATATCAGAGTATATACTATAATTCTATATTACATACATTATAGAGTATATAAAAGTATACTGTATATCACAAACTATAGATAAGTATACTATATATCACAGTTTATACTACATTCTAACCATATGCAGTGTGTATGTGTGCATATTACATGTATATATGTATACCTGTATATCTATCTATAGATATAGATATAAGATGTATTACGTAATAGAGAAGAAAAATAAAGTCGACCTCTACCTATTAGTTGAATGCACACTAACTGCTGTGCTTTCACGTTACTAAGATGGTGAGAACAAATACATGTAAAATCACATAGGTTCTAATACCATGAGATCTCATATTTATTCATAAACAATATATTTGGAAAGTCTACTGCTTTTTATTTAGTATGCATATATTTTGATATGCCTTTGAAAAATACTGAATTCATTATAGTATCTCATGTTTCTTTTGCTTCTTTAAGCCTTCTGAAAAAAATATGAAGTTTTTACTTATTTAATGAGTTGAAATAAAAATAAATGAATAAATATTTTAGGAAAAAAATCCTGCTAATATTTGTTACTGATTTTTAGTGTTCTAAAGAAACAAATGGAAGTGAAGATTCCTCCTTTTTTTCATGGATCCAATTTTACTAAATTGGGTCTATTAGATGTGTGGCTATCTTATCTATTAGGCAGTGAGCATCTAGGAGATGGAGTACTCTGATCATGTTCACTACTGGGCAATTTGAAGGAATCCAGGGTATATTTGAAAGGTAAAGAAAACACGTTTATTTTTCCTGTAATCCCAGCACTTTGGGAGGCCGAGGCGGACGGATCACAAGGTCAGGAGATCGAGACCACGGTGAAACCCCGTCTCTACTAAAAATACAGAAAACTAGCCGGGTGAGGTGGCGGGCGCCTGTAGTCCCAGCTACTCCGGAGGCTGAGGCAGGAGAATGGCGTGAACCCAGGAGGCGGAGCTTGCAGTGAGCTGAGATCCGGCCACCGCACTCCAGCCTGGGCGACAGAGCGAGACTCAGTCTCAAAGAAAAAAAAAAAAAGAAAGAAAGAAAGAAAACACACTTATTTTATTCTTGAAGAATAAAGGAAAGGATTTGGGAAATCCGGATAAGTGAGCTGCTGCCTGATACAATCTATGTATTAAAGATCTCAGAGATACATAGCCAGAATTCTTTATTTTTTTTTATTATTTTTTTAATTATACTTTTAAGTTCCAGGGTATATGTGCATAACGTGCAGGTTTGTTACATATGTATACTTGTGCCATGTTGGTGTGCTGCACCCATCAACTCGTCAGCACCCATCAACTCGTCATTTACATCAGGTATAACTGCTAATGCAATCCCTTCCCCCTCCCCCCTCCCCATGATAGGCCCCGGTGTGTGATGTTCCCCTTCCGGAGTCCAAGTGGGAAAGGATTCCCTATTTAAAATATGGTGCTGGGAAAATTGACTAGCCATAAGTAGAAAGCTGAAACTGGATCCTTTCCTTACTCCTTATACGAAAATTAATTCAAGATGGATTAGTACTATACAACTTAAATGTTAGACCTAATACCATAAAAACCCTAGAAGAAAACCTAGGTAATACCATTCAGGACTTAGGCATAGGCAAGGACTTCATGTCTAAAACACCAAAAGCAACGGCAACAAAAGTCAAAATTGACAAATGGGATATAATTAAACTGAAGAGCTTCTGCACAGCAACAGAAACTACCATCAGAGTGAACAGGCAACCTACAGAATGGGAGAAAATTTTTGCAGTCTACTCATCTGACAAAGGGCTAATATCCACAACCTACAAAGAACTCAAATTTACAAGAAAAAAATAAACAACCCCATCAAAAAGTGGGCAAAGGATATGAACAGACATTTCTCAAAAGAAGACATGCATACAGCCAACAGACACATGAAAAAATGCTCATCATCACTGGCCATCAGAGAAATGCAAATCAAAACCACAATGAGATACCATCTCACACCAGTTAGAATGGCGATCATTAAAAAGTCAGGAAACAACAGGTGCTGGAGAGGATGTGGAAAAATAGGAACACTTTTACAGTGTTGGTGGGATTGTAAACTAGTTCAACCATTATGGAAAACAGTATGGCAATTCCTCAAGGATCTAGAACTAGAAGTACCATATGACCCAGCCATCCCATTATTGGCTATATACCCAAAGGATTATAAATCATGCTGCTATAAAGACACATGCACTCGTATGTTTATTGCGGCACTATTCACAATAGCAAAGACTTGGAATCAACCCAAATGTCCATCAGTGACAGCCTAGATTAGGAAAATGTGGCACATATACACCATGGAATACTATGCAGCCATAAAAAAGGATGAGTTTGTGTCCTTTGTAGGGACATGGATGCAGCTGGAAACCATCATTCTCAGCAAACTATCACAAGAACAGAAAACCAAACACCGCATGTTCTCACTCATGCATGGGAACTGAACATAGCCAGAATTCTTAAACCCAGATAAATTTGTGAAGTAATATTATGACAGCCCATGCCATTTATGTTACAAAACCCTGCAAACAGTGAGGTCTAGGTGTATGATATCAGTGTTTTATTTTTTAGTCTTTATTCAGCATGAGAAATGTCTAAATCACTGTGAGTAAAATTAAAGATTGTAATGACTGAGCATAGAAACATAAGTTGGTCTCTGTAGTAAAAGACTCAATACATGTCTTCCTCCATATCCATTAGCACCTAAGACAGCCATTTCCACCTGTCCTGTTTTATTTGATATGTAATCTTGGCAGCGGAGACTCAAGTGAAATTCTAATACCTTGTTCATTTCTTTAGCTAGAGATAGGTATAGTACTATGATCTCTCTAAAAATATCTGTGAATCCTGTCAGCGGTTCCTTTAAGTAGTACAGGTTTTCCTTATAGCCAAAACATTGTTAGTGGTTAACAATCTGTTACGAAACTAGTTTACTATGCATTCAGCAACTCTTTTGCCACACCAGGTGAGGATGTTCATTAATTCAGCTTAAAATCCCTTTTTGGTAGTAAAGGTCTCCTTTACAACAAGAATTATGCTGCAACTCTCTGCAATCAATCCCTG